GGAGAGCTAATCTTTTTATATGCTGTTTTTTCACTCCTTTATCCATTTCCTTCACAGCCTCACTAAGCTAGCTCGTTCCTTCTACCACATATCATGTTTTGAAAGATTTGGCTCTCCCCTCTTGCATTTGATCAGCAAGAGTCAGACTTTCACTTATGCCAAAATTGGATTGATTTTTTGTTTCTCTTCCATGTAAAATGGAGTCATTTCTGTTCATTTTAACATATACGTTAACTGTCATATGTTGTGATCCCCTTATAAGGCTGTCATAATTGTTCACAGTTTGCAGTCAAGCATTCGGAAAACTGAACAATTTCCTCCTCTTTGAGAACCCTATTGGAAGTTAAATTAAGCAGATTTAATTTAAACAAGAAACTTCCACACAGTGACTTGGGAAAACGATCAGATAATAAAGAAATAAACCTTAGAGCCCTGGGAGATAAGAGTTGGAGAAACCTCCAGAGATCATCTAGTTAGTCCTCTGCCCCAAAGTGTGATCAGCTAAACTGCTGTCATTCCTGACAGATGTTTCCCTAATCTATGCTTAAAACCTTGTGACAATGGAGATTCAACATCTCTCTGCACTACTTCAGTGCTTCACTCTCCTTCCTGTCAGAACATGTATCCAGATACCTAATTGTGATCTTTCTTGCTGTTTTTTTAAGCCCTTGCCTTCCTTCTCTATGCTTTGGGACTGGGAATGAGGCTCTTCCTGGACTTCCTGCACAGCTTCCTGAATACTTGGCCGCCTCCTCTCCTCAGTTTTCAATTCTCTAGACCAAGTCACAGCACCTCCTTATTCTTTCCTCAGCAGTCTTGTGCTTTTCCGGACTGTCTATCCAGCTAGTTCTCTCTAAGTAATATGACATGGGGAATAGGGTAGATTAGCTGAAGTCTTTCCTAGCACCAAGGAGGGGTAGAGGTAATAATTCACATCTTGCAGGCCACAGGTCTGTTTATACATCCCAGGGTGTCTCCTTCACAGAAGGACATTGCTGACTCATATCGGATTTAAAACCCATTCTCACTCCCACTTTCTTTCAGCTACTTGCCTAATATCCTTTAATTATTTCTTTGATTACGAATACTGTAAATCAAGTTACAAGTCCCTCTTGAATTGAAGAAACTGAATAGCCACTACTCCCAAGTCGCTGCCAAAACATTCAAGTTTATAAACATGCAATATGAGTAAATTCTGAGATGATCTCCTTTGCTAAGTTTAAAGTTCAACACAAAGTATGCTGTCAGCAGTTTTAGAGCTTTTTTAATACTGCACATTTTCACAAAAACGCTTCAGTACTGGGATTCCTCCTCACAGGATTTCCAGTCCCTACATTCTTGTCCAAACTGGAGTCCTTAAGTGCTTAAATGGGGGTCTTTCAGTTCTTTAAGCACTTCAACATAAAGAAGTGCCAGTTTGTTACTTAAAAATGTGCCATTCATTTATGCAATGTATTCACTTCCTACTATATAAACACTCTTGCTCCTCTCCAGTGGATTCTCCCTAACCGATGGAGATTTTTTCTTGGAAGAGTTGTCCCAAAATAGGACTACTCTTTAGCTAAGGTTTTCCCAAGGAGAGGAGAGCAGATCCTTTGCAGGTTTTGGTTCTGTTTCTACACGGTAATGTGACCATCCATTTCACAACAGCACAGTATTGCTGTCTTGCGTTCGGCTTGTGATTCACCTCATCCCTGGTTCCCTTCTTGGGAATTAGAGCAATTTCAAGTTTCTGACAGTTCCTGGGTCTGTTTAGTGAAATTGGAATAGTGACTTACCCTAGAAGCGGAAATTAGACAAACGCATGTGCAATGTGTGGCACAGATTTTTCAAATGTCAGATTTACTACTCCTGCAGAAGCTGATTGGGTGGTGGCAGGGGTGCAGTAGGTTTCATGCTTCCCAAGTGCATCTGACTTGCTGCAGCTGACTGTGATGCGCAATACAGACATGCAGTAGCTCTTGCCAAAGTGCCTTACATGAAAACCCCAGGAACTCCATTACCATGCTCACACCATCATGTCCAGGATTTGCAGAAGTACAGTAACTCATCTAGAGGCATCCAATTCACAAAGGCTCCCAGAGGGAGACAATTCTCAGCTTTCACGTGGACAAAGTTTCCAGACAGAAAAAGAGGAGGAGGAGGAGGAATGTTATTAGCAGAGTATTCCTTACAGACATCCGTCTTGCTTTGAGCTTGGATCCAACTGACACTGCCAGGATACCATGTGCATGAACTGTTTTCCTCTCACTCCAGGCCCTATTTCTTTAGGAACTGGAAAGTAATGTAGCCATCTTGGGTCAGGGCAAAGATCCATCTATTCCACTTTCTGCTTCTAACAGTATTCATAAGTCCACGCTCAAGGACAGAGCATAAGAACAGGGTAAACGCATACAGTGTTTCTCCCCAAGTACTCCCTATCCTGTGGTAGTTAGTCTGACAACTGTAAGAGAGAAATTAGTAGAAAATATAAAAAACCCAACAGAATTAGTGGAAACACTGGTAAATACGACATAGTAAGAAAGAGAAAACACTACTTCTGCAAGCTTTTGAATGGGGGTTAGTGCTGCCTCATGCTGCTGCATGGAGTCCCAGATCCTTGCACAGATGCAAAGAATTCATCACCATCTCCAGCATGACCTTATCATCTCCAAGGACTCCTGTGGTACCTAGCCATCTACTGACTCAACAGATTCCCTGGCAGACTTCCTGCTCCTGATGTGTTTGAATAGATAACATTTTAATCTTTATGCCTTTTACCAACTGTCCCTCAAACTCCTTCAGCCAGCCTTACCACGTTTGTACATTTAACTTGCCAGAGTTTTATCATCATTTCTATTTTTTCCATCTGAACACAACTTCAGCTTTTTGAAGGATGCCTTCTTGCTCCCAGTCTCACTTACCCTGCCAATATTGGCTTCTCTTCCCTCTTTCTCAGGCTCTTCTTTACACATGGTTATTTTCTCTGTGCTTCCCACAGGATATATTGAAGCAGCGTCCATACTCCCTGCAAGGAGTCAGGTCCTCAATCCATCTTACTTTTAACAAGCTTCCTGAGCGGTGCCTAATTTTCCTTTTTGAAGCTGAACGGAGCTATGGTAGAGAACTCTGAGCATCCTCACAAGAGTAGGATGAGCCAATCTAAGCACATAAGACCCCCATTGCAGGGGGGTTGCTCTTCAGCTATTACTCGCTAAATCACATCCCATGAGCCACTCAGGACTAAGTCAAGGGTTGGCCCTCCTGGGCTCCCAAGCCAGTTGTTCCACAAAACACCTATTGACACCTACTAAAAACATAGTCTCTCTCTGTCAAGTCTGGATGTAATGGGCAAGTCTTGCCCATCTAGACAGATTAGAAGTTCTGCATACCTACGATCATCTCTCCCTTTACTCAGCCTATTGTGTTGCAACCCTCCTCACTGGTCAGCAATGTAGAGTCAAAACTATATGCAACTATAGTCAAAACTATGCAATAGTACTTGCACCCATGTAGAATCTGGGTCACCCTTTGGTGTAATTAGTTTGTTAAGCAGCTTATTTGTTAAACAGTTCAACATCAAGCTATCTATAATGTGCAGAACTACTAGCAAAGCCCACTGCATCTTTCCTAAATACATGATATCATGGGAATGGACTGTCCCACTGATCATAATCTTTCCAAACTCACAATGTGTCTGTGCGGTTAGCATGTTCATGTCCATCTATTTACTCAGGCATTTCCTGAGTGGGTGATCTATACTGTGGAAGGGCCTTTCATTTTTGATTTTTCTGGGAAGGGTTATTTTTAAGTAGTCTTCTCCCCCGCAAAGGATATCAGCTGGCCAGCACTAGTCTCAGTGACTCAGAGAAATAGACTTGGTTTTGTAGTGAGGAACACTTGGATTTAAGCATTGGGAGAGTTTAATAATCAAGGAAAATGCTTTCTTACAGGGGTAACAGCTCTTCGAAGAACTTCTCCTTATGTTTTAAGTAGAACAGGACATGCAAAACTAAATTCATTCAGAAGTTAAACCTTTGGACAGTCATAAAGAGTACTTGATTCTCCATTGCTTTTTCACACTGATGTGTTTCAAGTTAAGTGCTTTGGAAGTAAATGAACACAAAACTGGAGCAACACAGTGTCAATTTTCATCAAGAAGAGATTTCTCTTGAGTTACAGAAGTATAAATTCAAATAGTATTTATAATCACCGTTAGAAATTCCAAAGCAACTTTTAATATGCCATATACTTTATAAATTGCTCCCACAGAAGATACTACCGCTCGATGTAGAGATAACTGGCCTAAAATTCAAACTGTTTTGTATATGTCCTAACAGCCTAGACTGTTAGCCTAGATTTTAACCTGTTTTCTGTAGTTCCTCACTGGGGCTGCTTCTTAATCTTGAAGCAGGTTATAGATAGTTCAATATAATATTTAGATGAAAACTAATAGAAGATAGAAAAGCTAACGATCAATGACATTTAATCAACCTATTCAACACCAACCACCACACAAAAGCATTTGCATACGGGGTTTCCAATACTGAACTAAGTACATTGCTTCTGCTTTATTTATTGCTAGGTAAATGAACAACTTTAACAGTTGCCAAATATGAATTTTCTCTTCTGGACGGAGGGAAGAAGAAAGGTTTTCAGTCTTTGTAATGCAGAGGAAGTTTTAGCAAGGAAAATTTGAATTAGTAACACTTCTTATGTTATTTTTCTTTGTTGGAAATCTGTGAAGTGAGAGCAGTGCGTGGAGCTAGCAGAGATGGGTGCTGTATGAGCTAGAAACCTCCCTGCCCTTTAGTTCCTGAGTAGACCAAGAGAGAGCGAACAGAAAGAAACCCGTTACGCCCCTGTCTCAGCATGGTCAGAGCTGTGCTGAGCACTGCAAAGCACTATAGCTTGGAAGCGTGAGCTTTTTTTTTTTTTTCCCTCCCCTCCCTTTAAAAAGTTTTCAGGAAGTCTGGGGGAGGGGCAATGCTGTTTCTTTTTTGTTATAATGGGCCCCTTTGTGGGGATGGAAGAGAAGAAGAGGTCTGGGTGCCTGCAGCGTGCACGCTTCGCAGCGCTTCCCGGGGAAAGCTCGCAGTGCTCCTGCCAAGCGCTGGGCCCTGCGGTGCCGGGCAGAGGAGGGGGCCGGCTCCGGCATGGAGCTGATGGTTCTGTGCAACGCTCTGGTTACGCGCCTGCTCTTTGTTTTGCACTCTCTCATCGGGGTCTGGAGGGTGACTGAAGCGAAGAAAGAACCCAAGTACTGGCTACTGGCACTGCTCAATCTTCTCCTGTGTCTGGAGACAGGGCTCACCCTCAAGTTTAAACAAGGCAGAGGCTACAAATGGTGAGCATATCCCGCCGGCTCCGACAGAGCCCCTATTGCTTCTTTGCATGTACTTTGCTGCAGATGCGAGGCTCCCTTCTGCGGCTGCTGCCTCAGAGCACAGCTGCCCTGCTTTTGTTTCTGCCCAGCTTTCAGGGGGTTGCGTTTTCTCCCCTGCTATCTCTGGGGGACTGGAAACTGGTAAAGCCCTGGCTATTGCATTGCCAAATTCAGGCGGCTGTATATTGTGTGTGTGTCCATATGTGTGTGTGTATCCACTCTAATGGCTGAAAAGCACCGGAAACTTGGCTGCAGGCACGAAATAGGTGCTGTAGTGCTGGTGATGTTGTGGGCTGGGGCAGGGCAGTGCACAGGCTCCTTTGCTGCCCTCGGTGCGGACGGACCAGGCACCTTCTCAACAGCAGCTGGTCAGGGCCCCTGCAAAAGGCTTCGGGCAAAAGCCCCTCACCTCTCACCCCATACCACAGCACCTGCATTCCCGCTCCCCACTCCAGGTAGCGATATTAACCCCAAGCTAACAGAAGAGCTCAAACTCAGTGGCAAACACAAGATGAGCAGCAAACCGTTCTTACAATACAGTACGAGCAGGTAAACATTCAGATTTGAATTGGAGAAGCTGGTCTGGAGGAGAGCCTACCAGCTGGAAAGGCTGCCCAGGAAATGAAGTAGAAACAAAAAAATTACAGCAGAGCTTGCCCAAGCACATGGGTTTTTTAACATGCATCTAAAGACAGTCTATTCACGAGGGATGACTGCAGCCATGTACAGCTCATCAGCACAATCAGTCAGCCAAAACAAATGCTCTGGAAAAAGGAAGTGGTCATGTAACTAATCATCAAGGTTTCATTAGGATCTTTTAATTTTAAAGACTTCAGACTGCAGGCCATGGAGACAAATCCAGGGCAAAAAGACTACAGTACTACAATGATTTTAAATTCCTATCCACTGCAACCTGTGAAGCTCATTATCACAGAAGCAGTCTTGTGTGACAACTCACACTAATGCTCCATACTCTAAATCCGAATGTAATCACAGCAGTGACAAAGCCTGGGCTTCCTAATGGTATAGGAATATTTAACGCCAGCAGAACTCCAAACACACAGTTTACAAAACAGAAGCAGGGTGGGCACACCTGATTCATTGAGGAGACGAGGCGGCAGCAGGGGGTTCATGGCAGAGCATTTGCTATGCCAGCTTTTGGAAAAACCAAAGGTACGGAAAGCAGATCCATTTTAGATGAATACGTGCTAAAAGATGAGTAAATTTAGCTAGAAGTAAATTTTTAAAATGGATGTAGTCCTGCACTCTAGAGAATACAATAAAGTACATTATAGGTAAGACCTGTAGACAAATGGCCAGCATCTATTTGCATCTGGATCACTTTCTCCTCTGGTAGGTAGTACTCAAAACAGAATCATCTACTTTCATAAGAACACCTCCACAGACATCCACTAATCCAGTGTGCCACAGACCTCTCCTGCTTCCAAGAGCCTCCCCTGCTCCGTCCATTCATTACTGACAAAAGACTGTTGCTTATTACACCAGCACAAGTAACTAGAGTGGCACGCGTGGAGAAAAAGTAGTATTGTGGAGCTGGCCACAGAATATTTCCTCTAGATTGCTCCTTCTGAAAGAAAGGCAGGGTTAAAGCTCCTGAACTCTCCTGGCCTGATCTGGTGTCATTAGCTCAGCCATGCTAACCTGCCAGCTGGATGGATTTTTCTTGTGCTGAAGTCCTACAGAAAATACTGTAAAACATGGTAGTCCTCCAATTCAAATGAGATGCCTGATCTCTTCCCAAACCAGCAGGCTAAAATCCCATAGAGTCAGTAACAGTCTGTTTCGTTAAAAATGTATCTATATATCTTATTTTGAGGGGGTCGATTGAAGCATTTCATAGCAGCTCAGCAGCCCAGTGATCTTCTTGAGAAGCAGGAGTTTTTTCTTCCTCAGAACTTACCCTCTAGCGAAAGAGTCATGATTACAAAAATAATGCTACATTCAGGACAATAAATGCAGGAACTTTTAACTGAAACATTGCTGCAGACAGAGTAGTTATGTAGGCTCACTGCAGAACGTGCTAATGACAGGAGAGAGGGGTTCAAGTGAGTATGCTCAGCATGAGGCCACCGCTCTGTCCTAGGCCAGTCCGTGCAGCTGATGCCCAGCCTGCCACGGCAGAAGCAGACAGAACATTCGTGGCATCAGACCTCATTTTTCTACTCCAAAAGGATAAGGACAGTAACAAATTTTGGCACACATTTGATAAGAAACCTCAGCAACCCTCATCGGAATTGGAGCTTGCAGAGGAGTGATGAAACCTCTCCAGTACTCCTGAAGAAGCCCAGCTCAAGAAGCTGGAGTTATAAAGCTTCGCTGTGTTCCTTGCTAACATTTATGATAAGTTATACAGAAGGGCGGCAGGGGAAATGAACTAGAGACAAAAAATCCTAAAAATACCTTGATCATATGGGTGCCGGTACAAGTGGGACACAAGGCCAACCTGCACCGAAAGACCTTCCGATGAAGAAATGCTTATTTTAGGCAAACTGATGCTATATCTACCTTTCTTATATCAAGGCACAGGAGTCTGAGCAACTGCCTTTATACCAGAATCATTTGGTGGAATGACTCCCTTTATTAACTCCCTCTCTGTGAGATCAGAAAGAGCATATTTGCTATAGTCTTCCCCCCCCCCGTGACGTACTGGCTTTCTGCTGTAGAGAAAATAGAGAAAAGCTTCCAATCAGTTCTTGAAAAGCAATTTTAAATAAAATTCCATATCTGATCTTAGATGAGTTTGCTAATAAAACTATGATTCACATGCATTGACAGCATCAGGAATTCAGCAAGAATGGCAACTCTTATTTGCAGGTACTGCATTTCTTAAAAGTCCGTATGGTAAAAGGCACAAGACACTCTTCAATGTGAACTATAACTTAAGTAGTGTTATCAAGGTCCATCTCAGATAATAATAGGACACATGGTATTTATGATGTGATATAATACCAAAGGTATCTTTTCTTTTCCTTCACAGGTTTTCACCAGCAATATTTTTATATCTGATTTGTACAGTACCATCATTATGGCTACTAGAAATTCATCATGGGACTCAGGTATTTATTATGAGACAAGATGGACTAGCTGGAAATTGATGCATTATTTGATTGATTGGATGTAAGCATACACAAGTCCGTCGGGTCATGTTCCTATTCTCCATTTTATACTGGTGGGTCTCCCCCTGCTACGGGAGTCCCATAGCACTACTAGCACTCTCAGTGCGCTACCATGCATTTCCTCCGTATCAAATAATGAAACTCATTCTGACCTCAAATGAGACCATTTATTTATATTCAGTTGGGGAAATGAGGCCTAGAAGTTTTGAGGTTAATGAAATACAGCCTTTCACCCGCAGGTTACCGTTTGAATCCTGCTCAGGATGGTGAAAGTATGTCATTACTTTAGAGGCTTGGTTTCACACCATTTGCAGGCAGGCGTCACAACTCCAAGCAAGCCAAAATTGAGACAGGTGTCAGTGAAAGGGATCTTAAATTTCTTTGCATTTGCTGCAACCTAGGAACATAGTCACAGATTATTACCACAAATTAGCTGAGGTGGTAATTCATCTGTATGTGTTTATATCCTTTTTGTGTTCGTGCCATATAGTGATGTGGGCGCCAGGCACAGGGGTCTGGATTCCACTTCAGGACCTAAGCACATGGTAGAACTTTTAAAGATGATAGTCCTTTTGGCAGCTGGGGTCAGTCAGGGCTGGGAAAGAGCCCTTTAGACCAGCACCCCAAGCCAGGTGAGCCACCCCTCCATTCAGGCTGCTTTCAAGTCCCCATAGCACTTCTGGTGCACCGAAAAGAGAATTTTGTCTGACCCAGCATTTGCACACATGCAGTACCTTAGGCCCTTTTTTGCCACGGATGTATTGGGAACAGCAGCAAAAAAGCAACAGAGAAAAATACATAGATTAGACTAAGTAGATGTAGTGCCTCATTTTCTCCTTTGAAACATTGTTAGAGCCCACAAAAACATAATCAAATATTCAAAATTGTGTTTACACTGAAAATGCCTGAGGCTTTTTCTAAATACAGCAGCAGCAATTTATTGTGTTCTTGTTTTGCCAAATTTCTTTAAACAGTCACAGACAGGTAATGGGGATATTGAGAACATTTGTCATAGTTAAATCTGGTCCAAGAAACAGGCTAATTCTGTAGTCAGAGGCAGCAGTTTATTTCCCAAAATGATGTTAGAACATGGCATACTTTGTTCTTATTGATATACTGCTACTGTGAATTAAAGAGGGAGTATATCAAGTTAACAGCTTAGTTTATACCTGAAGAGATAGGGAAGAGAGTTCTGGAAGCACACAATCTAATAGATTCAAAAGCAATACCTCCAGAAGGGGAGCAGCCCTCCTAACAATTAACCCCAAATGCAGCACCCAGACTAGTACTATTCTTTATACTGAAGTATTGCTGGTATTTTCCTCATTAAAATACCAAAAGAATGGGTAATTATGCAGTCACTAGACTCAGACTTTAATATACACATCTTGAAAATAGCGTGTGGCCTTTAAGGCAGTAGAACTTTGATCTCCTGTGAATCCCTGAGAAGAAACATCAGCTGCTTGTGTCAGTGCTGTTATTATTCAAGGCATGTTCTAATCTGCAGCCTCTCCTCTGGAAGACCAAGGCAGTTTTGCCTCTCTGAGTACTGCAGAACTGGACATAAGTAATACCTTTCATATATCAACAGTGAAATACCAACTGCATAGGAAGTACTGCTTTGTAGTGAAGTATTCAGGGATGAATTACATTTTTGAGAGAGGTTCTATAAAGTAAATTGAATTGTTCTGAGTGAAAAGAGTCACTGTCAGCATAACAGAATGGAAAGAAAGTTAAAACCATTTAATCCATTTAAAAACAAAATCCATTCTTCCTTCATAACACATAAGCACCTCAATGAACAAATGCCACCTATCTTCTCCAATGCCTGGTGCATCAGTGCCACGCAGCAATAGTTAGCCACCTTTAGTGCAACCCACCTGACTACTAGTGCAGGAGCCAATGTAAGCTTCCCATTCAGTTAGAAGACAGCTATTTGGTAAATCTTGTAATTATTCTTAATCACCCTCACTCGGACATTTTAAGGAAGTCATCAAGTACGGTGCCCATTTCTCTCAGCCTCATTCTGAAGTGGAATTCTCTTACCAGAAAAAATTTGAGTGCATCATTCTTCTAAAAGCCATCTTCCAGCTTTCATCACTTCTTCCCTCCCCTACCCATCACCCAGCTTAAACCAGCGTCTGACTTTATGTTTCAGCTCGCTTTTATGACTGAAGCGAAGTGAAGTCACAGGGCAGGGTCTGTGACATCATGTACCTGCATTGCCATAGCGACGGCCCCGCCAGGATCACTGGCATTGAGGAGGGGGCGAGCAAGGCACCTGGTACGCCTGACAGCAGCCAGCCTCCTCGGTGGGGTACGCAGGCTGGCAGCCTCCACACAGCTAAACGGAATTGAGGGTCCTCTGCCCGCGTGGTCCAAGTATCATTTTATCACTTCAGTGCCGGGCCCGCTGCAAGAGCTTCTAGCTGACCTCATTTCTATTTGCAAGTTATTCACAATCCCAAATAGGAATTTGCTGGATCAGTTTGGTATTTCAGCAGTTGCCAGTGTACTGACAGTGAGGTCTCTGCAGGTCATGCACTAGGACACCACGTCATGCAACACGCTTTTTTTGATGAGATGTTCTATAAATCTGACCAATATAAGCTGCATCTCAGAAGAAACAAAAGGAATTAAACAGAGCTAGAATTTCTGTAAGACGGGTACAATTTCTTCCTGTTTTATTTTTGCACAGTAAAAAAATATGCATTTTTGTTTAGCTATGCAGACAGTCTCAGAAGCTAAGAGTAACTGGGCTCCATCTTCACCTAGCAGTAAAGAGGTAAACTAGTTTTATCAGCTGTCTATGAAATTTAGCCTTTACTTTTTCCTTGTCATATTCCCACGGAGGCATTACACATACATAACTGGCTAGGCAAACGGGTCTGGTACCAATGCTCCCGTTCACACGCACATACATGATGTAAAGTAAAGGCTCTTCTCCAAACTTTCAGGCGAACAAACACCACTTTTAATAAATATCCAGAGAGAAACAAGCCAAAACAAGATATGAACATACTTAAATTCAAATCAGGAGTCTAATTCAATGACTGCTTTTTGCAGCTGCCATTTTCCATTTCCCGCCTGCATGTAGTCAGGAAGAGATATGGCCCCTGCTCTGAGGGGTGCCATTCAGTCAGAATTCATGGAGCCTAATGCTGAAACAGCAACCCCCAATTAAGCCAGAAGTAGTTTTGAAAATTACACATAAGGAACCTACAGAAGACACTGATAAAGTAAATGGATTTTCTTAAGGAAACATTCTCTGCATCTTTGTGCTGCTGAGAAAAAGATGACCCCCTTGCAAGCCAGGCGGAAGCCACGCCATGCTTTCCTCCCCCTGCCTTCCTCCAGCAGCTGGAGTCGCCGGCACTCTCGGCTCCTTTGCGCTGCGAGCAGGTTGCGCCAACCAGCTGCTCTAGGGCAGGGAAAACTATCTGCTCCCTGCTGTTGGCAGAGGGAAGGTCACGGCATCTGCTGAATGGCACCCATGTGATGGCAGTGCCAGAGCAGAGTTACCAGCAGCTTGCTGCCCATACAGTATAACCGCTACAGGTTCCTGTTTTATTCTTGTCATTCAGCCCCTCGATTTACTTGCTGGAAGCTCTTGGGGACTTTGGGAAGATACTTCCCATGTCTCTTCACATACAGCAAATGCAGCAGGCTGCATACATGGGTTTTGCCTCAAACTTGGTAAATTCTTCCCTGAGCTTCCTCCAGCACAAGTTAGCAGTCCCATCGCCCTGCCCACACTACTTAAAACAGCGTAGACATTCACGTCTCTCCTCACTCTTCTGGGGCGGTCACCTCAGTTATGCAAGTTCTAAGTCATGGTCTCCTCAGCTGCCCATCTCGTACTGCCTGTAAGGGCTGCTCAGAAACTTGATCTGGCCCCAGAAGGGCTAACTTTGGCCAGGGAGGCTGGTCTCCTTAGGCTTTAAGGCTCTTTCTACAGGCAACAGAGAAAAGGGCTCGTCCAGAACACCAGTTAAGTTTTTCTACTGTAACATCCCCCCAAACAAGCCCTTCTGCCTCTCCCTCACTCGCCTTCAACTGAAGGGCTAACCCAGGGTGATTAGCCCCCCTCCCAGGGCTAGAGCTGGACACAACACCCACCCCTCTATCTCACTGCTTCCCTGCCCAGAACTGTAGACTTCCCGCCTCCAAATAGAAGTATATTCCCCACATCTCTGTGTCAGTCTTTCAATGCTGTCATGCCCACTGTCCTAATAAGCCAACTATTCACTTTAAGAGCCTTTCTCACCAACAGCAGCAAGTACTGACTGCTTTTCCCTGATTTTTCAAACCACAGGAAGTTGCTCCATTTATCTACAGCAGCAGGCAAGAGGCAGCATTTAAATGTCCAGATAGCGAGCAATATTATCAGACACCAAGCAAAGCATCAAAAGGAGAAGAGGGGAATCTGAAGTTTGTTGGAATGTGCTGTTTGTTGGAAAACATTGCCTTTATATTGGCAGGCGCGATGCTGAGTACAGCTATTCAGTATGCACTAGAGCACATTCCGATTCTCGCAGCAAATCGCTCCTTGTACAATAAAATGGTGGGGGGCCCAGAGAAGAAATGCGAATCATTTGCTGTTCTCTGGCACAGACAGGACAGGATAAGAGTCTTTAATAACAGCATGGTTTGATTTTCTAATTATCCCTTTTCTTATTACAAGGGAATGAGATGTTAAGGGATTGTTATGAAGACAGATTTTAGAAATTGCATCCCAGCTGCTCCAGGGCCAGCTTTGGGGGTAAAGGTAGAACAGCAACACAGTGCTGCATACCTCCAAACTCTTGGTCACACAGTCCCACCACTGGCTTACTGCAGCTCAAGTAACATCATATTTTAGCCATCATTACTTTTCCCAGAGCCTTGAGTACTCAGAGAAAGTTAAAATATCTGGGTTTTTTACTCCACAGGGATAGGTAACAACACAGGGCCATCTTAATTAATTAATCCTGAATCTCATCTCTCACACTATGAGTTTCCGTGCAAAACGGGCACAGTTTGGGGTGGGGAGGCATCAAAAAATGAAGCAACTCCTCCCCCCAACTGTATTCATTTCATCCTTGAGGGAAGCCATAAAGAAGAAAGAGAATAGCATTTTTAGAGAACCTATTTCTGGATAGTACAGACAAGAAGCAAATTCTTTTGAAAATAGGTTTAAGTACAGAGACTCACTCTCTCTGTGACCATTAAATTTCAGACTGACCATGACCATCTTTTACTATATTTTACATTTTCAGCCAGAGACAGACTGTGTGGAAAACCCAGTAGCCTGGTCCAAGAGAGCTGCAGGCAGATTGCACGCAAAGAGTGCGGTTTTAACTTTGCTAAGGTGTCCCTTGCTCCATTGCCCCTGATTTTACATCTGGTTCTATGGTATAATCCTATACCTTCTCAGGGGCCAGCCTACACAAAACTTCAATCTTCCTAACAGGAATTCCTCCCTTCTGAACAAGGGGCAGATTACACTCATAGTGAGCACACACCTTTGTGACCATTCACCAACTTTTACAAATGAACCCTTTGCAATTCAGTAAAACAGGCCTTTCAGCCACAGGGTGCGCTATCTCCCTCCCCAGGAAGTTGATGCACATATGATGTTTTTGTTCACAACAGTATTGCAGTAATGAGCCTGGAGCAGTTCAGGTGAATGCCAGCAACCAAGACTTCAATCAGTCCAGAGACAGCAGTCACGGAAGCGAGGGAACAGACCACCACATAATTCAGACGGTGAGACATCTTTTCCTATTCCTAGCAGAGTTCTTATGATATGCAGGGAGAGGACAATTAGAAAGGAAAGTTTTGCAAAACAATGCTGTGAAAAGAGTGGCCTACAGAGTGCTATGCGCTAACTGCTGTTGGTAGGAGAAGTCTCAGTGTGAAGAGGAAGAGTCTCCCACTTCTGTCCTCCAAATTTGAGTAAGTGAATTTAGCAAGTGTCTGGGTGACAGTTCTGCAAAGGATAATGCCTAGCTAAGAAAATGAGCGTGCAGCAAAAGCACAAGGAAAAAGAATCATTAATACAAACTTTGGGCAATGAATAATGTGCCTTTTACAAGTCATACCTGCAACATAGAAAGCAGGCTTAAGGGTGAACATCATCTTTGAAGGTATTCCTAATGTCAGTCTCCTGCAGTTACACTATGTTATTGTTCTGTTTTTTTTTAAACTAGGCTAAAGTTTTTGTCAACCAGCTCTCCACAATCTGCGAGACTGTATGGACACTGGCCCTCCATCAGACTTTTCTACTGCTCCTAGTAATTGGAAGATGGCTTCTCCCCATTGGGGTTGAGATCACCCGGGATCAGTTGTCTCAGCTGCTTCTCATGTTTGTGGGAACAGCAGCAGATATACTTGAATTTGCTAGTGAAACCTTGGACATCGAAGATGTGCGGTAAGCAATACTTGCTGGCATAAAACCTTTGCATTGTGCAAGGCTACACTCAAAAGAGATTTGTTTTGTTCTGAGATTTGTTTGTACTGTCCGTGGAGTCTGGACTATTGGAACTGCATTACCCACAGGTAACAGAAAGCTACATTCAAGGGCTTTGTTTTCCTCCTATCTCCTTTTCTTCCATAAAAGGCCCAATGGTCCTATAAGCTTTGGTAGAGATTACTCATCTATTGCCAGCAGAGAAGCACGTCACAGCCATCACAATGTAAGGGTGCAAAGATCCAAACAACTAGCTAACTGCAGCGTAGCGTCAGTCTGTACAGCTACAGTAGCAAAACATGGGGTACACAGTAAACCTCTTCCAGGTTAATGAATTGTTCTAGACTGGCAGGGAGGCAACTAGAGTTTTCTTTAGTGATTTGTTATGCAAATTGTTTCTTTGGTTATCTCACATGCACTTTCGCCCAGATAGAATGACAAAGTGTTCACAGATAAAGGGAAGGGCACGGTTCCGGTATGAATTTTCAGCATTGCTGTCTCCCCCAGAGAACGTAAGCCTCATCTCCTTCTCATAGCACAGAGCTGAACTGCAAACATCAATCACAGAAAAAGAATCACAGAAGAGGTTCATCCTCTCTTACAGAGGCATTATTCAATCATGTCTTCTATATCACAGAAGTTTTACAGCAGGAAAAGAGGTCCTTCCCCCTTGGCAGAGAAGCTTCAGACTTGCAAGAAATGCAAAATCACTACAAGGGTAAAGATATCTCTACTGCAAGCCACAAAGTCTATTTCCATACACTTATCACTGTAATGTTAGCATCAGATGTTTAATCATACCGCTGGAACACACAGCCTGAACAGCAAGAATTCCATACTAAGAGGAGCCTATTTTCCTTAGGCCTACTAGCCCATCCCAAAAAACATACGTTAATCGCTGTTTGGCTGAACCTCCCTTTAGCTGACATTCTAAATGCTAACGGAAACATTTCCATTTTCATATAGGGAAACTGCATCTTCACTGATGCCACTTTCTTTCCCTCCCATAGGAAGAATTATGCTCTCATCAATGCCATTCTTGCCATATGGACCTGGAGTATGTTACAGTTTCCACTTGATCTTGCAGGTTAGTATTTGCAAATAGACACAAAAAGAGAAAAGCAAGTGCTTTTCCTTAGAGTTTTTGCTAGCATGCACTGATAGCTTTGTGCACACACTACAGGCTATATGAAAGACTTCTGGTGGAGAACAATTCATATGACAAAGGCAATGATGTCTTTTGAAGAAAACATAGTGTGGTTTCCTTTGAGGAAATACTTGTTTCTGGCAGACCTCTGATCTCCACAGTAAAACTGGAATTGCAGCAAGTGCGTTCGAGCATCTGCTCCAGCTGGCAATTACTGCCTTAAGCTTCGCTCTGAGCTCTTGGGTTAGATCTGGTCTCAGATTGCATCATGGGTCGTATCTAGGTAGGCTACTGGACCTTATGGCGAGATGCGCTATTCTTAAGCGCAGGGAAGAGCGCAGCCAAGAGCATAGATGTCATGGGCTCAGAAAAGAGATTTCCTACGCACAGGCAACCTATAGGATCATATAGTTTTTAGTTTGAGATAAAAATGTACTATCTCAAAGGTCCAAAGTTCAGCCAGCTCAGGCTGGTATTTGTCACTAGACAGAAAGGGCTCCTCTAAATGCAGGGAGAATAATGGAAACCTCCTAGATCATCATCTGTTCCAAACATTTTGGCCTGCAATCACTACAAGTCTGCAACTCAACTATACCAGTCGAAAGATAAGTTACCCTCACCAGCATCTTCAGTAAAGTTAATGACTAGGTTGACACAATAATAAGTGAATAAAATAATGAAAAATGATTCTAGGACTTTTTCATTAGAGTTTATTTTAAAGACTGAAGGAGAAAAAATATTTTAGCACTTAACTGAACTGCTCACCTCCTGAAAAACTGATGCAGATTTATTATAGCTAAGATTTCTGATACTAACAAAACACATTCTGTTAAAGATGCAAAACACAAGTTAAAAAAGGGGGGGGGGAGAAGAGAAGCTTACTACCACCACTCAAATGTATTTGAATGGTGGTTAAACATGGCATTAATTTAAAGGGAACAAACCTGCATACTGTGTTTTTTCTCTGCTTATTCCTTTTCTACTTATTTGATTACATTTGCCAGTCAAAAATTAAGTTATTGAACACATATTGCCCTGAAATTTATTATGGGTACAGTTTTATTTTAGGTAATTCAATACAGCTGCACAGACATTACTTTTTATTCAAGCATTGTAGTGTTTACTCACACATCAAGAATGGCTTGAAGTAGCAGTTTATAAACACTCATTGGACTACAATAACGCAGTTAGAACTATTAAATGATACAAAAATGTATTAAAAAATTAGCTGCTGTTGAAACTTTGCCTAATGGATTCAGAAAATGCAGTCCCTTTTCTGGGACTCATTTTCCACTTTTCATTCTCACCTTTTTTCCCCCCCTAGTGTTGACTAAACAATAGAATGTTTTTGGTAAGTAAAAGTGTTTGGAGGTTGTTACCGCATCAGAATAACTATGTTTTTTTAAACTAATGAAATCATGCTGTCTGAGACAAGTGCCTGCATTTTCATAAGAGGCTGCAATATTTACTATACATAAACCCTTCAGTGATCCATCTCTAGACACCATGTCACAAAGAGTGTTCTAACCTACCACCACTGTTATAGCCAAAGGGGACACATCCATGCAGGTTCTAATAGTCACATGAAATTTGATACCCAGAAGGCTAAAAATAAACAGCAGTAGCTCAAGTCTTATACGGCAAGCAAGGACCTCATTTTCCTCCTATTTGCAATGCTTGATATTCCTCTCACCAAACATTCATTACTTGTCCTATCAGTGATTTGAAGAATGTGGCACACAAAAAGCAGTGGCTAGCAGGTGAATCTTTTAAAAAGCAAGATTGAGGATGCCCTGGAACAAATTTAAGTGCTACAGATCAGGCTGTTCCCGTTCAGCATGGTGGTTTTTCTTAAAGATGCACATTAGCCTACCCTGTTACTGGATTTAACAGAAAAATGTCTGGGGAAATTGTTGCAGGAAAATTAGATGATCATCTACTACTTCTTAAAGTGTACATATCCTGATACCTTTGTGGGACAGAGAAAGGGGCTTTTGGTCCTGTTCAGCAGAACATGGAAGTGCCTACTTAAGATGAACTTAATGTTCTCTGCTGAAACAGATCCCTGAAATGGGATATGCTTTATGTTGAACTCTTCACAGCTGAATGCATTTATAATCCAGGGAACCTATGAGCTGCTCTTTAGGCCAATCCTGGCTAAGTTTCAGGGAGTTATTTTAACGTAAGTGTGTTTTATTTCCAGTACAACATATTGGCTGCAAGCCAACTGCATCGACCAGGCGAATCCCCAGCCTGCTGCTGTGCAGGTACAGTGCGGAACTGTGGAACATCGGGGTCAGTCTTTTCATACAGGATGGTCCCTTCTTCATTGTGCGTTCAATCCTGATGGGCCACTTCAGAATATTCAATCAGATGCTGGTGTTTTTTACAGCTAAGAATATCTTAGTTGTGACCCTACAATTGTATCGCTTAGCGGTGATAACATTAGACTTTCGTGCTACGATGCTGCAGAAGAGCAGGAAAGAAGTCAGCTGTTGCCCATGTGAGCCTTATGAAGCTCATACTCTCAGTACTGCTGACCAGGATACCGAAATGAAAAAGTGCATTGCTTTTCCTGCAAAAGAGGAGCCCGAAGCTCCATCAGAAGATCAGTAACCACAGCTCCTGACTCAAAACAGGTTGTGTTTCCCATAGAAATAGACGAAGCCCTTTCAGAGCAGCTATGATCAAACAGACCTTGAGCATCTTATTAATCTCTTCCATCAAGAAATCAATAATTTGGAAGTATGGGGGGGGATTTCTGAAGTAAAGCCATGCAAATGGAACATTTTATATCCTGTTGGATTTTGGGGAGTTTTGACTAGATCCCTATTATATAAACCACAGGGATTTTGTAGCCATAGTTTGTAGAAGCAGGAAAGGTTTGGCATGCTAACAGAGTTGGTTATTGTCCTTGGTGATATAGTGCTAACAGATGTATTCACATGTATTCACAAAGGACAAGCCTAACCCATAATGGGAAATATGGAAGCATTTAGCTTTGCTTCCATGGTCAGGCTATAACTAGAGCATGGTTAACATGTTCACCAGGCACAGAAATAACCTCAGCAGTGACAACTGTGCAGACATGCAAATGAGTGGGGATGATAGATTTCTACTGTTACTATGACATCTAAACATTGTTCCTTCGAGAAACGCAGAAAACGTTTCTTTGAACGTTACCTCATCCTTGACTGAATTCAGTTTAAAAAAAAAAAACCTAAGCAACACCATGAAATAGCATGCACAAAACCTTCTCTCAGGACATGCAAGGTCTGAATAATTTAAACCTTTTAGTGAAGGGGTGGGGCGTAGCATTAGCCCCACAGATCATTAGAAGACAACTGCATCTGCCACACAGGCATTTTCTGGAGGCACTTGCCTTTCTATTTTCTACCAGTCAGAAGACAGAAAATGGGCGTAAAGATGTTTTTCTCCTGCTTCACAGTTGAATCAAGGTTTTAAAAAGGTCTCAATTTAAAAAAAAAAAATCAGTTAAATGTCCTGATTCAAGCATACAATCTAACTGGAAAGAAAATGGCACCACTGGCATTTGACAGGACAATCTAGACAAAAAGATTTTGGCTTGTGCTTCACATTTCATAAAGCACCATGAAGTCTCATGTAATCTGTTCAGAGATTGTCTGGTCTATTGAGTGTCAAGATCCATTTTTAAGAAATGGCTGATAATTATACATTTACTTCTTTCACATTTGTAGTGAATTTTTATACATTTTACATCAGTGTAAGGCCACTGACCTTCCTGGGCTTAGTCCTGATTTACAGGAGCTTAAAATAAGACAAGTGATTTTTGAAAGTCAGTCTAAATTTGCTCACAGGTGCTTCTACAGCTTTCTACACCAATTCTAAAAGAATGCAGGAAAACATAGTAAAATAGCTAAGGTAATTCTCCCTGTTACAATTTCCCAATTAAACCTTATTTTCTAAAGCCTCAGCTATCCAAAGATAGAATCCGCTTTTGGGAATGCATAAGAGTGTTTCTACCCCCACAGCAGCAGTCATACACTCATTTATCAATAGCCTGATAAGCAAGGACATGTTTATTCTTTGAAAGATAAAAGTGAACCTATTTAAAAATTCCAACCACCAAACATGAGAACCCCTCTTTATATTTGTGAGCTGCTAAACCTTGTGATCAGGCTCCTGCATTAGGAAAGCAGAATATGCACAGACATAAAGGCGGCAAGAAATCTCATATACTGCCTAGCCCATTCTACCATTTACCTTTACTATTAACATGGAACACCTCCTGCTCTTCTCATTTTGGGCCGCTTTCCAGTAAAAATAAAAAAAATGCTGATCGTCATTTGCAGTGTTGCTGTGAGGTGGACATATGGAGAGTGGAACACAAGTTCATTTGGAATTTTAATTCAAGTCTACAGGTAAAAGACTAGAGTGCTGCTGCCAACCAGCTGTGTGGTCTAAAACCTTCCACACTGAGGTGAATTTAGAATCAGTTGGTAGGGCTATAACAACTCTCTTCCTTTTTGATGCAAGCCAGAACTGCTCACGTTCATTTTCAGTTTACCACTTGCTGATATACTAACTATCCTGTTAAAAGGATCCTTGTTAATTAATTTGGAGTATACTGAGCTTCCTAGAACATCATTCCAAAATCATGAGCACAATAACTGAAGGATATACTTTTTTGAACTTACTGTCATTTAATAAAGGCTTAGCTCAGCAACAAACTGCCTACCAGGCTGCTGGCCTGCAGCAAATCCAAGATCCCCTGGAGTCAGCAAAGCAGAGGCTAGCTATTGCAGGAGTATTTTATACAGAACTATATTTCCTGGTCTTCAGGCTGTTTTTTTTCAAGCACCAACAAAACTTCTATCAGTTTTACTAGCAGAACTCAGGCCAATGCTAGGTTGTTACTACTAGATCCCATCCCCATTCACTCACAGACAAAATAGGCGACAAAATAGGCCAGATCCTCCCCCACACTTAGGATATAATAAATTTTGATTTTCTCCTTCATCCTCACCATCATGGACAAAGAGATTGCATAAAAAAGGCGGGGAAGGAGGATAGACAAATAAGCCATTTAAATGTTGGGCAGTCTGTCTCCCCAGCTGTGTGCACAGGGGATCACGTATGATAAGTAGCAGCATGGCTGACATGTAGTTCTGCGTAATTCAGGAAGAAGCTTGTAAACAGCGGTTTCAAAGTCTAGTAGCTTGTGTGTTTGGTCATGGCAAACCTCAGCTGCAAGACCCCTTCACCTCCCTTTTGCGAATTTCTTGAAAGGGAGGACAGAGGAGGCTGTCTGAGGCAGCTGAATCAGCAGCTGGGTGTGGGGAACCATCGTGTCACCCTGCAGCCTTCCAGAGCACTGCACTGTGCAAGCAGTAGGATGTGTTTTCTTGAAGATCTGCCAGAGACTGTGGCATATCTGAAGAACTGGTGTCATGTTTGCTGTTTAGGAAAAGCTGCAATAACCTTTCAGCTTTGGGAAAATTCAAGTCTTTAAAAAAAAAAAAAAAAAAGAATGACTTCAAAACATCTATTTTAGCCATTATTCACTCTTCCAGGAAAATTACATTACTAAACCTCTTCTGCAAATTGATATCTAACCATATACTATGATTTATTCTAGCTGTTCCTGTGTTGTCCTTTTAGGTTATTCCATCTTAAAATTCACTACAATACTTTACTACTTGTCTCTTTCTGAGCTAAAATGTATTCCCCCTTTCATTTGGGCATGGGCTCAAATAAGATCATAGCCCTAAGCTTGAAAAAAGAAAAAAAAATAGTAACAACCATGATTTTATTGTATTTCTGTTGGTATCTGTACTGTACTATATTCTCTGAAACCAGGTAGAAATGGAAGAAAGTGTGCAATTACAGTTGGAATTTTTTAAAAAGTATTTTGCAAATAAAAGGCAGTTACCTCAGGCATAGCTGCCAATTTATTATGTGTGAACTGACTGTTACATGTTCCTATTAATTACATCTTCCATGTGCTGCTTTTCTTTTCCATCCTTCATAAGTTAATTGCTTGGGCCAGATTCTGACTGCAGCCACTGCTTTGTAAATCCACAGCAATTGCAGTAAAATCCATTCTACTCTTGATAGGTTCTTCTTTCTGCAGGAAGTTTGCCTCCAAGTATACAAATCACAAACTAATCCCAGAGAGCATTTGTTTTTTTAATATCTGTATACAGGATGCATTTTTACAAATGCATACAAATATATATCACATACACATGTAGATTCCCATACACACCTGGCAATACCTAACATATCCAGCTTTTATTTTTATTATGGTGTGCAAGATAGCTGATGAAAACACTCTGCAGATGTCTGTAAAACACTTGCAGAAACGCCTAAAACGTTACAAATATTTTAACCTTAGGACATTAAATAGTAAGCACGTGGTACTCTCTGAACAATATACTGATTAAAATAGATTTTTGTAAATTCCCTGGTGTGTATCATTTCCATGCAGGTTTCCTCAGTTTAATGATTAATGAATTATTCCCCTCCTCCCCCACCTCCCAAAAAAAGAACTGGTTTCTCTAGCCTTTCGAAGCAATTACTAAGATCAATGTATCTGCTTGGCTGTAAAATGTAACAGAAATACTGGTTTGGAATAACCGTTGGTCGACAGTGTTCATAAAGGTTTTGTGATTTCTTTCTCACAGATGGCTGTCAAATTGCACATAGAAATCACTGGGTTGGGACACAACTTGACTATCCACAGGGCTGTATTCTGAGTGCGCCCTATGGCTTAGTATTTTTTTTCCGCTATCATTTATATAGTGTCATTTGAAAACCTTGTACAGAAATATCTCTGTTCTTCCCTTAACCCAACTAGAATGGCAGGTTTGATTTTTGACTAACCATTTGCAGTCCTCAAACACATGATGGATAACAAAATTGGAGACATTTTAAAGCATAGATTAGAAGTGCTAGAGTCAACACGGAGACAAAAACAGCAAAGAGCCAGCAAGAATGGTATAGGAGGAGCACTCAAGTTTTCAACAATAAAGATTAAGGCAGATAGTAAAACAAACAAGTTGCTCATAATGGGAACGCCAGGAGTTACAGGATGACTTTGTTTATAAGGAGAGATACAAGGGGGAAAGCCATATCTAGTAAAACGGGTGCAAGAAGATAAAGTATTTTGGTAGTGGGCTGCTCTCCTCTCTACCAAGTGGCATTAGCTTCTCCCAAGCAAGTGAAATGAATTTTCCTAATTCAGTCTCACAGCTGTACAGCTTAATGAACAGCAGATTAAACCCCACTGCAGTATAAGGAGAGCAGAAATGATGTTCAGGTAGGAAGAGGTAGAGGGTGTTTGAGCCTGTAATGCTTTTTGCCCCAGGTAGTCCTGCAGCAGAAACTCTAGAAGTCAAACCCAGGGAGAAAGTTCAGGTTCAGCTTGGTTACTGTTACAAAACTGTATGTCCAGGAATAGCGTATTTTGTACGCTGTAAAGAGTCTAACTTGTGAACGATTCCTTACATCATCCAGAAGGAATGGGCAGCAGCAATGGAAAAACTAACTTCCCAGAAAGTTAATGCTTTGGAAAAAAAGTATGATTGGCCTCTTTTCTGAGGGGATCTTGCATAAACGTACCTGTGCCTGATACAGTGCATGACCTATCTTTAAGGTCTATTTTATGATCTTCTGCTCCATGTTTTTAATAATCAACTTCAAACAATAATGCTTTTATTTCTGCCTCATTTAAAAACTTTGATAGGAACATATGTACACGAAGATGTGTGTAAGAGATTTTTTGAGATTTTTTTCAATCATGCCTGCCTGACACCCTGCGAGTTTGTGTTTTATGTCTGATCAGTTTAATACCATCCTGCATATTTTCAATGTTCTTCAGGCAGAAAGATCACAAAGTACTCTGCAGAAGCATTAGAAGAGAACACTATCATCTAAGTCTGTACCAGGCTGTTTCTTTGGTTCTGTGTCAATAGAAAACCCTTGAATCACCGGATTAGAGAGATCTGGGCTCTCTGGTCCTGGGATTCAGGTCTCCACCTTTTTCCATGCTACTGTAAGAGGAAAGAAGCCATTCAAGAGTAATTCACAAGCTCCTCTCTTGTGAGAGGAGGAAAAACAAAATGTTCCTAATCTGTGAGGCAATAAAGAGGGGTCATGATGGCAGATGTACCAGAGATGTTTGCTCAGAATCGGTCACTACGCCAGTGGCAAGATAAGGCAACACAAATACCTAACGGAGCAGACACCAATGCCCGAGACAACTGCACATCATCCATGTCTTGAAATCCTCTCTTGTGTTTTAAAGCCAGTATAGAAAGAGCTCTTGCCAGCCAGCTCCACCACAATGATCTCCAGTGAGCTGCTAGTAGGGGAACTCAAATGGTGCTCAGTCTATCTTGTACGTGAGCCTAAAAAGCTGCATGCAACCATTTCCTCATTTGGGCTCATTCAGGTCCTTTCTCTTCCTACTGGACTGGATTAAGGTGGGAACTGGGGGGGTAACAAA